CCCCCCCCCCCCCCCCCCCCCCCACTCAAAGGAAAACAACAGTACAACAATACAATCATATTCTATTTGTAAACAGGTAGAAGCCACTTGACTTGTTGCATCTTCGGACACAATTAGGATCAAGGCAATGAAATGTGGACGACTTTTGCACTGTTAAAATATTATCTTCAACCAAAACAAACAGCTTTTATGTTTAAGTTTTTCTTCTTTCCTTTTTTCAAAACACCTTTTGTGGCAATGAGAGCAATAAAAAAAAAAAAAAGCAAGTAATATTTCGCATTTGTGTTGTACTTAATGAAACATTTAAAACATTGTGTGAGACACGGGGAGAAAGAAAAGAAAAGCGCCTCTCAGTCGGCCGTGTGAGAGGCTACAGTATGCATAGATACAGAGTCGCCTTTCTCTTGGTTTAAGTCTGACCGTCTCACACTCGCACAACAAACACTCCCCACGTGTGATCCTTACATCAGTGGAGTGGAGGAAGAGGAGGAGAGAGGGCGCGTTGGGTTTTCCGTCCTCCACCCCCCCCCCCCTCCTCAAAGACAGCATATTGAAAGCAGTGTGTTGAGCTTCTCCAGCTTAAAGCAGTTATTTGGCAGAGAAAATAAAACTTACAGACCTATACATAGTTTTCAGTGCTAGAAGTTGGATTTTCCTTTCCTACAAGGAGTAGTAGTTTTTTTTTTAATTCACCTACACGGGGGGGAAAACTGGCTTGATTTCCTGAGAACCATTGCTGGTTATTTAGCAGACAAAGAGGAATAGTTCAAATAACCAACGCCATGGCCAAAAACACTGATCCGAATTCCCAGAGTTACAAAGCATCGTCTTCATCCTCAATAAGAGTTTACATTTTTGTAGTTTTTCTATTTCTTTTATACTTTTTTATTAAAAAGGTTTTTGTTTTTTTTAGTTTTTTTTATTGAGTATTTTCTATTTTTATTCTATCTTCTCTTTAAAATGAAGAATGAACACACATTCCGCCTCCTAAGTCTTGTAAACAAGAGGTTGCAGTGTGGCACCTCCAAACATTGAAAGCCTATTCTGAAAGTGCTGTTTCCCCCCTGCCCACTAGGGGGCTAGTGGGAGGGCTTGCTAGATAGACCCCGCCCCCTACCCTGGGGTGGGCGGGGCTTGCTAGTCCCAGCTGCGGCTACAGTCCTTTGCACTGCAGAGCTCAACGTTCTTTAGTTTTGAAACAAAATTGGTGCAATACTTTTTAATGTCACTTTTTCTATCACCAGATAATCCTCCAAAGTCAGCTTTTATTCTTCGTTAACTATCTGTTGATCTTGAACTCCACGACAACGCAGTAAGGTAGGCGTGCCAAGGCAGAGAGGAGCGCACACACACTCATCCACGCACGCAGTCTCACACACACAAAGCACTTCCACGCACATACGTGCATGTGCACGCGCATACACACATACGGTAAGGACCTCAATGAGTAAACAGCTACACTGGAAAAACTGGCTGCTCCCTCTATATTGCAGATTATATATACTGAGAAAAAACCACATTCAGTGCAAAGTTAAAAAAGCTCATACTCCAACATTGTCAGCAAACAAATGCAAAAAAACCAAAAAGAAAACGTTAAAAATGAAAAGAATTGGAATTCAAATAAACATGACGAATGAAACAAAAAAAAAATATATATATATAATAATGAGCTCGATTGAAGCTTTTTTCGGTCTGAAAGAGCACTACCTGGAAGCAAATATCCATCCGTTCACATTATAGAATTGGCCTGCATGATTCAAGTATTCCGACTGATATGTTTTTGGGCTAAAACAAAGTGGACATATGTGCAGAGAGAGAAACGTAACTTGTTTTCCACAGGGCGACCCCGTTTGTTGTACATCTTGTAAGTGAGAAAGAGTCCGACTAGTGCCATTGCGTTTTTTTTTTTTAAACTTTGTTTTCTTTTTTCATTTTCTTCTGCTGATTATTGATAATTCTCTACTGACCCTTCCTCGAGCCTGTTTGATTGGCAGGCGGTTCACATGGAGTCCCCGCCGCCCGTCAGGTGCTCCACCGGGAGGAAGGAGCTGATTGGAGAAGGGCTGCTGATCCTCCCCGCCTCAGTGCCACTGGGGTTCCCCCACAGGCTACTGGAATAGTTGGGCCCGCCCCAGAGGGAGGAGCTGTGGAGATCGCTGCTGTTCCACTGGTTGGGTTCAGGAGCGCGGCTGGGAAAGCTGTGGGACTGATCCATTCTGCTCTGAGAGGAGCCAACGGTCTGCCAGCTGGAGGAGGGAGTGGCCAATGACTGCCCTTGTGCAAAGAAACGGTTGATTTCCTCCTCGCTGGCAAACTCGGCCAGAATAGTAGTGTTCCCCAAAACACACCTGCAGAGAGACAACAGGTGAGATACACAGCGTGCGTTAGAACATCTAGTGGCTGAGACGTGTTCACATGCACTGTAGTAACCTGGTTAAAGTTAGTCTGTTTATATGCAGTAGGTCAATAATTCAATTCCTCCCACAACCCCGACCTTATTCTGGGAGCATTACTTATCAAAATAAACTTTTAAAGTGGTGCAATATGCTGCTACCTGTTTATATTAATGTATTTGTGCATGTCAGAGGATCAGTGAGAGGTTTTATTGAATAGAAAACTGACATATTTAGACTTATAGAGGTAACTTTTGAGAAAGAATTATTTAAAATAACGTGTCATGATTCCTCTGCTGTGCAGTCGCAGCGATATTCTCCCTTTATTAAGCGTTAACTTGCAAGAAATTTAAGAAATGAACTTGCCTGTAATAGCCAACTGTAGCACGGTTACCTTAGTGCATCTAAATGCACTGAATGTATCAGGAAGTGAGATTACGTGTGTGTGTGTGTGTGTGTGTGTGTGTGTGTGTGTGTGTGTGTGTGTGTGGTCCTTACATGTGCAGGCTCTTCTGGGCCTTTGCGGCCTCATCCTTGGAGCTGTAGCATACCACGGCGTTACCGTGCGGCAGGTTGAGGTGGAATGTGATCAGAGGGCCGTGCTGCATGCACAAGGTCCTCAGGGTAGAGCCGTCAATCTGTGAGGCAAACAGAACACACACACACACACACACACACACACACACACACACACACACACACACACACACACACACACACACACACACACACAAACGAAGCATGAAACTCTCCCGTTTCAATCACGAGTCCAAAACATTAACAGAACCCTGTCAGAAAATACAGGTTCTTTTTTCAAAGAAGGATTAAAGAATAAATTGAAATGATAAAATAAGAGTGGAACAACACCTCCAGATCAAATGACTCATCCCACTTTGCAACTCTATACAGAATGACAGAAACAAAATAAACACAAATTAACGGTTACATCTATGTACGTGCGAGTACCTGAGGTGTGAGATTTTTCAGAACAAGCCATTGGCTTCTCCCTGAGCTGCTGCTTTCGCCCCAACTGGAACCTGCCAATACAAGAGGAAGGGTAGCGGTTAGTGTCCGTTACAAATACAACATGTCTTACAGTACTTCATAGAGAATGTATTGTAATGTAATGTATTGTATGTTTGTTTTTAAGAGAGTTATTGACCAAAATGAGTTTCTCACACTGAATAGTTGACAGTGAGTTATTATTTGTGATGCATATTTCTCTTTTCTGCCACACAACCACTTATGTTAAAATAATAATGATAAAAACGTATCCTGGCTGCCGGACATGACTACAGGTAGTTTAGTACATGAGCTCTCACCAGGTGTGTATCTGGACTCAGTGGCGCCCCACCCTCCCAGCCTCAGGGCAGAGCCGTCCCAGCCGGAGGAGGCAGAGCTGGGCTTCTGGCTGGTGAGGCCGGGTGGTGGTCTGGAGGGGGCCGCCACAGAGAGAGCCTTGGGAGGCAGGGGGACCTTCCACAGCTCGTGGGCCAGGGAGGAGTTGGACACAGAACCGCCGCCGGGAGACCACTTTGACTCACTGGTTCTGGCTGCAAGGAGAGACAACAACGTGAACCTTTCTGTCCATTTTCACGCAGCTGCTAGCCGTCTTTGTCATATTATCCAACAGCAAAACTACGAGTCTAAAATCAAACAACGCAGCTTCCTAAAGGCTGAATTACCAACACGTATACAGACGCATACCTGAAGTGCTTTGTGCTGTACTGGTGAGGGAACCGCTGTGGCTGGAGGCACGAATGGATGACCAGGCACTGTTAGAAGGCATCGTGGTGTTCAGTGATGAGGATGGCCCTGAGAAGACAGAGAGGAGGGTTAGTGCCTGTGGAAGCGTTTGACCAAATCTGAATCTAGCATCATTTCACGGATGAAAAGCTGACAACCATAGGTGTGGCTTATTTGAGTTATACAATCTTAGTAAGCGCTAGTGATAAATCATATCTCTATTAAGCGTTTAATGAGGCTCACAAAAAGACCACTTCATGGCTTCTTTCTATGAGAAACCATCTTTGAATGTGGCCTACGATTGATCAAATCTGCCGCTGACAGCTGTCTTTAAAACCAGTAAAACAGACAGTTGTTGGCTTAAAACTAAGCAGATACTTCCTAAAACTTTAACACGTAGTTCATTGCTAATGAAAGAAAAAAAAAAAAAAAGACAGAAAAAAAATGTAAAATGGACCTCTATCAAAAATGAACCCTAGTTTGCGTTTGTGTGTGTGAGACCAACCGTTGTTCCTGTCCCTGAGGTGGTCTGTGTCACGGACGGTGTTGATGGAGAGGGAGTTGATGACACTGCCGGGGGTCATATAAGGGTCGGTCTCAGGGTCAATGTTGGGGTAACCTTTCCAGGGCTCCCCGGGCCGGAACTCTGCAGACACACACACAGACGGGGATTAGCAGTTTTTAACGCAAACATTTTGTGTTAGTTTGTTTTGTGCTCGTGAAAGCTTGCGCACCTGGAGGCCAGGTGACAGTGTTTCCATGGGGCAGGGGGGAGTTGGCACGGGGCGGCCAGCCATCGCCCACCGAGCCCATTGATTGGCCGGGAGGACTCAGGGGAGACGGGCCAGGAGACAGGAAGTCATAGAAGGGAGAGTCCTCCAGACGCAGCCCAGACGACATAGCACCTGCACGCAGAGAAACATTAGGACGCAATCGACTAAAACTCGTCTGTTTGACTTTACATCATGGAGCCATCAGAGCATTACACAATCTAATTGTAGCTCTTCTGTACCAGGTTTGCTGTTCTGCTCCAGAGGGTCAGTAGCCCAAAGCTTCTTCAGTCTGGACTGGGGTGGCTCTTTGTAGCTCACAGCTCCACCACCACCACCTATGTCCATGGGTACATTCAGGTTAGAGTTCAAGCCTGACGGAGGAAGAGACAAAACAGCAGGGAGAGAAGAAAGTTAGTCATTTTGAATCTAAACATATGAAGTAATTCAACAGAAATAGTCAAAACTAAAAGGTAATTTACATATTTTAATAGAATGACAAATATCTACACCTCTTTAAAATGTGGGGGAATGTACCGATTTTAAATAGCTAACTTACTTAAAGGGAAGTTGCTGAAGGATCCGAGAGAAGCAGCGTCCTTCTGCATCTCGGGGGTGTTGTGGGACATGTAGTTATCCAGGTACGGTTTGTGGGGCGGGGCCTGTTTCAGCAGGGAGGGGTGCGGCGGCTGCATCATCGATGGAGACGAACCAATAGGACGAGTCTAAGGGCCAGAGGTTAGAGAAACCAATCAACGAGGCAACATCACGGAGACACCTCTGCGTTATTAAATTGTGGGTGTGATGATGCAGGATTCAGATTGAGACACAAACACACACCTGTTCATTCGGCCGTCCCACAGGCATGGGTCTCTGGTTCTGAGCTTTCTGCTGTTGCTGCTGCTGGAAGAGAAGTCGCTGCAGACAGACAAGAAAAGTTTAAAATAAGTTTGCTGATGATTTGGCATCTCTGAGAATAAGTTTGGCGAGACATTTGCTGCATAGTACTGTATACTTTAAATACATTTGTAGACGGTTTGATGGAGTTACATTACGAAAGCCAGTCTGACTGGCTGCAGGGGAACATTATACAAGGCTCACATACAACATGTATGTGCATTGAATGTTTCATCACTCTACCTGTAACTGGTTGATCTGGTTGAGCTGTGACAGCTGGTTGAGCTGGGAGAGTTGGTTGAGCACAGCCACCTGCTGAGGGCCAAACAGAGGGTTCAGACCTCCGTTACCTCCCGGGTACTTCAACAGGGATGGAGGCAGCTGAACACAAACACAATTTGGGTTTTTAGTTTATTATAATGCCATTCACATTGTCCTGTGAATTAGATGTGAAACACAAATCAAACCATGGAGGGAAAAAACCCTCTTACAGGCATGAAAACATAAGCAGTCGATGCAAAAGCATCCGATTGAACATTGTTGGATGAGGGTTTTCTACCTGAGAGGGCAGGATGGGTGGAGGCACTTGGTTACGGAGGTTGGGTTGGGGGGGGACCTGGGACTGGGGGCCGCCTCGGCCCTGTGCTACGCCGCTGCCCATCATAGGGTTTACATTCTAAGCAGGGAAGACACAAACGCACATAATCAAACTTTGTCATTCATAATGTCATGCATAAAGACAGAAACTGTCAATCAAATGTTTGTGGCCAACCAGCAGCCACAAAAATGGTCCGCACCGGTCCACAATAAGGATATTCAATTATGAAACACTTGTCTTTCTCTGTATCCTTCGCTGCATTGTTGTTGCATATTTTTTTAAAGTATGCATATCTCTCTCCAAGATCATTTTGTATATTAGATCTAGATCCTTCCACACTCACCTGCCGAGCGCCCCCGGGACTAGAGTGAGCAGGAGACGGCCCAGAATCAAGACGAGGGACAGGCTGAGCAGAATTGGAAGGGGAAAAGCTCATGCTTTGATTGGAGGAGAGCTCATCAGAAGCTTGGTTATTGTAAGCAGAGGGGGAAACGGACAGCTGCAGAAGCAAGGCCAGGTGCACAGCAGACGGACGGCAAGCACAGAGGGACACAGGAAGCACATCAGCAGCCAGCGAAGTGCAGAGAGAGAAGGAGAGAAGAAGGAAAAGAGTTAATTTTGCAGAAGAAGAAGAGAGGGAGAAGGTGACGCGAGAGTGAGGACAGAGGAAACGACGGGTGGAAGAGTAAAAGAAATGGAACGAGGAGGAGAGAAGTAAGCGATGAGGAGGAAGGGAGTGGAGTTGAAAGAGAAGGTGGCACCAGAGGATTGGAGTCGGAAAGATAGAAACAAAGATGAGTCGAGCAGCTTAAAGTGAAGAAGGAAAGCAACTTCATACAGAACTACGAAAGGGAATGAATCATTATTGCATTATTACATAATTACAATAATGATTTTTATTACCACTAAGCATTCAAGTGTGCATATCTAATTTGGTTTTGTTGCTCATAAGTGAAAGAGCCTCACTAATAATTCATAATGATGAGATACAACATGCAAAAAGCAAGTATCAAATGAAACTTCCCTTTCGACAGTTCAGAAATCAAATGCAGTGTGTTAGAACCACCACTGTGGGGCACAATGGGTCTGAGAGAGCACTACAGACTCCACGCCTCCCTCATGATCACCACAACGGCAGAGAGCGTGCGGGACCAAACCTCTCTCCAGTTGTGTTGTTTTTACACAGCAGAGCTTATATATTACCGGCCCATTTAGTGCCGACGCAGCACAACAACACACCTGCTGTATTCTCAAGAAGGTAAACTTTGATGTTTGTGCATACCTTTTCATAGTAAGGGCTGCGATCCATGGCAGACTCCTTGTGGAGCTGGTGTCGAGACCCAGGGTTCTTCCCCATTGCTCCATTATAGTCGCCCATACTGCCCATGTCCATACGCTTGTCCTGCACCATCCCTGCTCCTGCCTTCATGGAGTCGTCGGGAGAGTCTCTCTGTAAGGGGGAAGTTAAGAAAACGATTAGAGAGACAGAAAAGCATAAATTGCATTAATTCAGTATTAATACATATACAAAAATAGAGAAAACGGGGATGAATCGCATCGCTGCACATGAAGAAAGTTGTTTACAGCCGCAGCTTTAAAATGTACAGGTGCTTCCTGCCACACAACTGTTTAAAGACACTAAAATTAAAGTGAAAGAGGGCAACAGCAAAACTCTGAGGAATGGTACTTACAGAGAAGCTCATGCTGTTGAACTGGTTGATGAAGGGTTTCATCCAGGGTTCCTCCTGTTTGTTGACTGGTTTGTTCATCTAAAAACATAGCAGACCAAATAATTATCAACTGGAGACACTTCAAGCATTAGCAGGGTCACCCTTTTAACCAACTGCCTTTTAAGTGTTTCTGTCGGAGAAAAAAACAACTCCAAACTTAAACCTCTGACGTGGTTCAATGTTGGGTGTTTGGTGAGAGCGGGGATCAATGTTTACCCAAAGACAAGGCGAACAAACCTTGTTGGCGCATTTATGCTTGTAGTTCCAGGCGTTTTGGTCATGAGACCTGTTGTCCTGTTGGCTGTTGCTCCACATGCCGATCTCCACCTCCTCTTCCTGGTCCCAGCTATTGCCCATGGCCGCCTCCTCTCCACCCCATGTCTCCATGGGCTTGGGTCCTGGAGCTACTAAGAAGGTAAGTAGAGAAGAAGAAACTGAATACCAACAAGTGATTGTATACACTTCTAATGCACATTTCATGCACTTACTACAGGGGAATTCTCTCTTGCCACTTTGTTCACGGTCAGCTAGGACTTCTTTTAGTTTTAACATGACCATACTCTTCAGATGCAGGTTTTTTTTGCTTAATATTCATGTTCATGTGTGCACCTACCAGGCTTATGCTGGCCGCTCCATCCAGGCCCAGGTCCAGCAGGCTCTCGGTTATCCCTGCCGGGTTCTTCCCAGGTGGAGCTGGTGTCCATGGGCTTCCCCCAGGCAGACGTCCCATTGTCCACTTTAACGGGCGGAGGGGGGGGAGGTTCCCACGTTGAGGACTCCTTCTGGGGGAAAGACTCACCCCAAGCTGCAGGAAAAGAGGGAGGTACCCATTAGAATGAGGACATACCTTCTGTGGTGTTGTCTTCAACCAATAGTGTTTTGAATTAATTCAATGTATCTTTATTTATATTATCATTATTATATTTAGACTTGAACAAATAGGAAGCTCAAATACACACAGAAAAGGAGAGCATTTCTTTATCAGCAGTCTCCGTTTCTCTACTCTATTCGTTGATGCTGCAGGTTCATGTTGTTTTTCTCTGCTGGAGTCAGAGAACAGAGCCAGGGGAGAGAGCCCTGCTCACGTCCCTGGGGAACCCCGCATCGACTTGCTTATGCAAGTGTTGTTTACTTTAACTCCTGTGGGTTTGTAGATGTGTGCCAATCTGCACTTTCAAAATGCGAGACTCCATGTGTTCAAGTCAATGCGCAAGTATGAGTTCAAAAGGCTCCCATTACAGCCGACTGCCCAGAGCCGCTGCTTTCTCCCTACACAGGAGGCGCTTGGGGAGATGCCAGGGATTCCTCCGCCGTAAAAATAGGACAGATCATCGGGTAGCCTCAGGCTCCAGTGTCCTCATGTGACTGGGCATGCTCACACACACACAAGCACATAACACAAGAGACACGCACACAGAGCCAGACGGACAAACTGGCACATACATGCATGTTACAAGGCAGATGTAAATGTTTGCTGTACACTCTCACACAAAACGGGTGCATTTAAAAACACACGTCAAATTGTAACCCTAGCCTGCATCTATTGATCCGTTTGTGTAGGTGCGTCAGTTGATACAATAAAAGGGGGAGGGGAAACAACGCGTATGTGTGTGTGTGTGTGTGCATGCTTATGTGTGTTTGACAAGTTGTAGATTTTAAGACAATTTTCAGTTTTGTTTTTACAATTCTTTCGTTACACATCTATTGTATTGACCTACTTTTACATTTTTTCTTCTTGCAATCGTTTTTTTTGCACTTCGGTGTCCACACAAATAAAACCACAATCATCTAAAATTAATGAAAACCTCATTACAGTAGCTGGCTGGTCTGCCCCACCCTACCCAGCCGTCCACTTTGCTGCTCCAGTTAGCTCGCTAGGCAGCAACCCTAAATAACAGCAACAATCCCCCCCCCCTCTCAGCCCACTTCCACAGAATAGCTTGTTATGTTTTCCCATCTTACATTGGAACCATTCCTATTACCAAGTCAACAGACATCCTCCTCCACCACTCACGGTCTCTCTCAAACCCAACAAAAGCCAGTGTTTCTGCAGCAGAATTGGCAGGTGAGAGAGAAAGGGAGGGGAAAAAGGCAAATGAGAGAAGAGGAAAAAAAAAAAAAGAAATCGATGCTCTTAGCATTCCAAAGGGATGACTCAACCGGCTTTACAAAAAGCCTTCAACATGGACAGCACCGTGGGGAGATGGGGGAGAACGGCTGTACGCGTTTGTTTTCTCTCCATGCTTCTGTACACATTGTGTATCCTTTTGAACACGTTTGTGAATGCGAATATGCAAACTTTTTGTGTTTGTACTGTGTAAATCCCTTTAAGACCTTATTTCAGCTATTTCTCAAAGAGTGTGGGCGGGACTTGAAGCTTTTTATCCATTCAAGGCTTACAGACTGAACCAGAAGCTCATTGTGCCACTTTAAATACTGGCTCATGTCCGAGCATTTTCAATATCAAACTGTACAAAAATAATGAATTGAACTGCATGTTAATCCACGCAAAGTCTACATGTTGTCAGAACTGTGCATTAGAAAATCTGCAGAACTCAGGAATCGACAGACACACTTTCATTCAAGAGTGTAACAATCAAAGTATCCCTGCAGGCTAAAACCTACTGCACATGTAAATAATGACAAGACCTGTGGTAACCTGGCTGCCACATCTATCGACACTACACTATAAAGGAAGCATCGTAGAGTATTGTCATCTTGTGTTACATGTATGCAAGAGTTAGAGGTGTGTGGGAATGTTCAATATTACTGTTTGAAGCTGTTTAGTGTATACATCATTTATTTAGTCTATGTATACCATAGGTTTCTAATGTACTTTAGAATAAAGAGTGATGATTTGGCTTTCTTTGCCTCTGTCTGAATTATGTGTGCATACATGTTACGTACTAGAACTGCAACTCTTGTCTTGGGCCACTGGCTGCATGGGCTGAGGAGGATGCATGGAGTTGCGTGCCGGGTGGTTCTGGTGATGAGTGGACGGGCCCACAGCCTCCTTGTCTGATTGGCCAGGCCTGTTCCACATGGTGGAAGCCCCAACGCTGTTTTTAGCTGGGAAGAAAGTTTAATTACACGTCGAGAAGCCTGGACTTTCATATGCTTTCGTCACGGTTTTGCACACTCTTTGAAGTGTTTACCAGGTTTTCCAGGTTCTCCCCAAGCTGCTGTGCCATCATCGATCTCATTCCTTCGACGAACAGACTCTGGAGACGCCTCTTCCCACCCAGTTGACACATCCTCCTTCGTACCTACTGCGGGTACGGGGCCCCCCAGCCAGCCTGATGGAAGAACGCAAGTGAGGTATAAATTGTATGTCCTCCGGCTTAACTATCTTAACTCTTCCTATCAGATAGAATTCAGTTTTTGGTGCCATAAAGCATTCCTTATTTAACACCTAAACATAGCCGTGTAACTAATAAAGACTTAAGAAAAGATTCTGATGGGATGAATAATCTTAACAGGTACCTGAGGGCTTGTTAGGGGCTGGATTGCCTCTAGACATGTTGGATTCAGGACCTTTCCCCCACTCGTTAGAGGGCTTGGGATTCGGCTCAGCCCAGTTCTGGGCTCCACGGTTGTTCTTCATTGGCTCGCCCCAGCCCTGGCTGTTACTCTGAGGATTGGGTTTGTGGACCGAGTCGCCCCAGTTGGAGCCTGGGTTCGGGGTGCTCTGGTCCGGGGTATTTGATCCTCCGCTCCCTACCCAGGTGTTGCCGCCGCCGCTGCTGCTGGTGTTGGTTCGGCTTGGCTCGCTCCAACATCCAGAGCCGGACCGGTCGCTGTCGCTCTCCCAGCTGGCACCTTTTTGAGGCTCCCAGTGGTTTTTGCCCCCTGCTCTGGCGCCATCTCCACCATTACCCCAGCGTTCACTGCCATTTCCACCTTTAGAATCCCAGCCCTGCTGAGGTTTGGGCGCATTAGTCCACGTATTGGACCTAAACAAAAACAACGAAGGTGATCAGTGAGGCATAACTACATCTAATAAAAATAGTTCTGCGATGGTATTTTCAGAATTTCTATAAAACACCCAAACATCAATTACCTGTCATCTTTGTTTATGTTATTGCTCCAGGTGTTACTGTTGCTGCCCCTATAGCTGGATCCATCGTTCCAGCTGCTCTGTCCACCTCCTCCACTCGCTGGGGCTTTGTTGTCCCACCCAGAAGACGGCCGCTCTCCCCAGCCAGAACCTCCTGGGCCTGAGCTGCCCGGCCCATTCCCCCAACCTGCGAATACATAAAAGGAAGATCAAGCTTTTGCCTACTTTTGTGTTCTAAAATGGAAATTTGTGCTCTAAATCTTAATATTTTTGTTCACTAGAATATATATTTTTTTCCAGTATCGGACATTAAAGTTCTACCTCCAGAGGTCTGGGAGGGAGCTGCCGGTGTCGCTGTGCCCCATCCGGAGCCTCCGCTGCTATGCTTTCTTTCGTCTCCTCTGGGTGCTTGGAGTCGTTTGTTAGCAGAAGAATTGACATCCCAGGAGGTGTTCTGCCGTACGGGCGTCTGTCCCCATCCAGTGTTGGACAGGACCCTCGGGTCCACGTCGGTCTGGGGAACCGCTGGCACAGCTGGTACTGCTGTTGCAGGACTGATAACTTTTCTGCGATTTCCTCCTTTTGGCTGGCTGCTGTCTCTGTCTGAGCTGGATCGGCCTCCGGAACTCTCTCCGCTTCCTTCACTTCCTCCAGTGCGACCCCAGCCTCCGGTGACACTCCCCAGGCCATGGCTTCCGCCCCCTCCACCACCTCCTCCTGCTCCTCCTGCTCCTCCTCCTCCTATGCCCATGGCGTCATCCTCCAGGCTCTTCCAGCCATTGTTGGCAGAGCTTCCTTTACGACTTCCAGGATCTAAATGGTTGTTACCGGGAGGTACTGATCCCCAGTCTCCATTTGACGTCTTGTTAGATGTGGAAGAGGACGATGATGACGAGGAAGAGGACGACGTGCTGCTCCCCCAAGGGCGAGGGATCCCTGCTGGAGGGCCCATCGGAGTCTGGCTCCCATTTCCTGGTGTTTGGCCTGCAGGGCCTGGGATTTGATTTGAGCCGATACCCCAGGACATGTTGCTCTGAGGCTGGTTTGGATTACTGGCGGGCCCCTGTTCCCAGCGTGGGGCCCCAGTATTATTGTGGTTATTATTACTCTTGTAAGCAGCAGTGGAGGATATTTTGGGGTTCCCAGCCTGCATTAAGGCAGGGTTTTGGGGGTTCACAGTGTCTGCATTTGGGGTGCCCTTGTCTCCAGGGTAGGTAGTTGCACCCCAAGGTGTACCGAAGGCCCCAGGACCGCCCAGCTCTCCTTGGGGGTGCTGGGGGGCTGATGAGGGGTTTCCATTGGCCAGCGGAACCCCATTCCCTCCTCCAACAGAGCCCCAGGAGCAATCCCCGCTGAGTTGGGGTGAGGCGGTAGAGTTTGGTGGACTAGAGGTCATTGTGGCGTTAGTAGTAGTAGTTGTAGTAGTATTCATCATAATAGTGTTATTTGGTCCATTGGATTCAGTGTTAAGGTTGGTAGGCTCGAGGCCACCATTTCCACTGTTGCTGCTTCCTAACACCTTGCTGCTTGCTGTACCATTATTCGCCTCAGTGTCTTCCATCATACTGCTGTTTGGAGCTGCCATGCCACCCCAGCCCAGTCCGTGGCCCTGTTGGGGAGCTATACCCAGTTTGGAACTCATCCCCTGAGCCTGTGGAGGCCGTTGGCCCTGGGACACTGGGCTTGGATTCTGCGGCCAGGCACCGTGGTTGGCATTTGGGTTTAAAGTGTTTGGATTTAACCCTCCATTGATGCAGGGGGTGCTTCCGCCTGTGGTGATCATGTTGGTGCCCCATACACCACTATTATTGACGGGCTTGTTGTTGTGGTTATTGCTGCCAATACTGCTGGATCCAGCCACAGAGTAGTGGGAGGACCCGGTGATGCTATTTCCATTATTTGCACCGCTGGTGGTTCCCATCCCTCCACCGATTACCTGACGACTGTTGCCGTTGCTGTCTCCATTTACTGAAATGCCGACCATCATGGCAGAAGTCACTATAGAAGAGGAGGGAGAAGAAGCCGTAGAAGACACAGAGGAAGAAGCATTTGCTGACATCATCACCGTTGTCACAGCGGCGAGGTTTTTCTCTGAGCCGATCGAGGAGTTAGAGTCTGCGTCCATGCATTCTGATGCCAACTCTGGGTCTGATCCTGACCCGCAGCCAGAAGAGGAAGACGACGAGGAGCAAGAGAATGAAGAAGAGGAGGGAGGCCAAACGGACGAGTTGGTTGAAGAAGGGTTGTTGGGTTTGTCGGCGCTGCCGTCCACTATGACTTTACTCCAGTTGCTGTTGCCGTCACCGCTGCAGGGTGAGCCAGAGGACCAGGGGGAAGGCTCATACTGCGAGTCCAAGCCAGGATGCTCCAGACCTGGAGAGAGGCAGGTGATAGTGTTGGATTTGAGATTTAAAAGAAAATATAAATATATATATATATATAGTAAATTTTAGAAAAGCCGCATTGATTTACCGAAGGTGCAGTTTTAACGTTGTGAAGAAATTATACGACAGTAAAATGTACTTTAGTAAATAAAACAGATGTGGTTTAAATTCCCTTCATTCACTGTCGCTGTGAGATTTTTCTATTCCGTCCAACCTTCAGCTGCCCAACGGTTGTTGATCAGTGCCAGGCCGAAGCCTGGACACAGCTGCCACCATTTTGTCACCACAGCAGGACTCAAAAGCATGCCAAAGCTATAAACTAGGAGGGCAGGGAGGCAGAGGACGACCATCAGCAGGAGGAAGGATGGAGGGCAATTGAGTGTGAGAAGAGGGAGGAGGATGTGCCGTCAGCCGAAAAGATTCAGACTAGGTTTAAACTTTGATATTTTTCTGAGATCATCCGCACTCAGAGCTGGCGTGTCTCTAACATTAGATACGGAGACCACACTCATTCAGTTTTAAGGGTGAGTGCTTCATCAGCCAGCAATGTTTGTCACTCAATCAGCATTACTGCAGTGGGAGCTCACATTCATTTGCAGTGGTCGTGAATTATTATAGTGTCAATACTAACGCTCAATGAAAGCATTTTAATTTGAAGGCAGTGAAGTAATTAACACGGTCAGCTAATGTGTTCATTACAATACACAGGTGATGGTTGGTGCTTTGAGACATTGCAAAGACAAAGAAGATTTTCTGGAAACATATGAAAGGTGAAGATCTATAAAAACAATTATATTTGACAATCCAGACTTCTTCGTCATCTTCCTTCAATCACAACATCCGCTTATTTCTTTTCCTGTTTTAATCGAGTCCTTCTCTTACTGTCTTTGTTTCACATAAACTTGTGTTTGTCTGCCAAGTCTCCTCACATCTCTAAACCCAATTTCTAACTCACTCTCTCACGTCTCCGTCTCCTCCTCTGGTACGCCGTGAATAAAACGCATCCGTCAAGGTCAGGTGAGACTGGGCGAAGCTAATCCGTCGATCACAAAGCAGAGAGCCAAAGTAGGACATTGGGAGGAAGAATGAAACACGAGAAGAACGGGGAAGGAAGAAGGCAATGTGTAGTCACCTGTTTGATTAGGGGAGTGGCTGACGGAATCCCGAATGGGAGCCATGCCTAGAAACAGAGAGAGAGAGGAAAGACTGTCAAACGGACTCAGAGGAAGTTAGCGATAGAGCCACAGTACAAACACAGTGGGGAGGTGTTAGAAAGAGCTGGGACAGATCGGACATTCAAAGCAAACAGAACGGAAAACAAACGAAAGTACGAAGGGCTTGCAAGTGATGAGCATTAGTGGACAGACCCTGCAAGTTAGTAATTACAACTGCTTATCCAAATTATAATGTAGAGGAATTAAGCAGGATGTAATAAGTTGGAATTCTCAGTGATTTGTCGGAGCTATTGGTGCTTTGTTAGTTTGTATTTCCCTGTTAGCACAACCTGCTTTAAATCCGCATGTTCTAGTTATTTTGATTAATATCGCGGTTAAATAAATTCAGAGAAAACAACACATTTCTACATATTTCAAAAAACCTCAGAAAACTAGAAAGTTTAATTTTTTCTAAGTCAATGATGCACAAAAGCAGCACATTAAAGACGCCATTTAGAGCAGCCAGTACAGAATTTAGAGCCGCTTTATGCAAATCTGTTACTATTCATGACTAGATAAGTTTGTTTCCAAATATTTCCAGGATAGAAGTACAAGCAGAAACTCATCAGAAGCTACGAGCAACAACACACCTACATTCTAACATTTAAATTTCTTGCTTATCCAAGAATATGATGAACAGACGGGAGTGCTTGTGTCGGCTAGTGTCTCTGTGTGTGTGTGTGTGTGTGTGTGTGTGTGTGTGTGTGTGTGTGTGTGCACCTCTGTTATGTTGCATTCTTTTCTTATTTCATAGTTTACCTGTGAGTGCGGTGAAAGGCTGCGGCTCCTGCAGGAGGCCGTCCCCGGGTTGAGCGGAGAAAAAGTGGCCTCTGGTTCCCAGGTCGGCGAAGGGAGGGGGAGGTGGGTATAAGGTCAAAGCTCGGAGGGCGCTGCCTCAAGGGTCCGAAGTGAAGAGGCGGGGCTTGTCAGAGCGGGCAGCAGGCTGTTCGGGCCCTCTTGGCATCGCTGAAGACTGAATGTGTGTGTGTGTGTGTGTGTGTGTGTGTGTACGTGAATATGTGGGGAGGGGGAAGGGGGGGATGTGGTTTAGATTGAGGACTCTGCTTTGACTTGGTATGATCCGGCACTGCAGAGAGAGACGAGAGGAGAGAGAGATGATTAGGTCAACATAGCGTCCGCATGCATTATAAAAACAATCATTTCAAACCACTCGGTCATAACATCCATCACCAGTCCACGGCAATGGATTTAACCCACAGCGAGTGTGTGTCACGCATGACCAAACAATCACACATTCATTTATGATAGAGCAACAACGGGAGGATTTGAAAACTGTTGTTCACTTATTAATAGCCAGATGAATTGTGGTTACAGTTGCCAGTGACCGCCACTTAAACTATACCAATACAATGATGTGAGGGATATATATTAGTTGCATTTTTGACAAAGGGAATGCAGCCTGATCCTCTCTCTGTTGTCCTGTTGATGACTAAGTATTCACATCTCTCCGGTACACTGGAGCAGAGGTCTGCAAGACGAGCCTCATTCAACTCTTCTCCTTCCATTGTGGTCATATGTACGCTTCTGTGTACACTGTATGAAATAGTTACATTGACTATACGTATAAAACATGTGCATTTTATTTACACGTGACTTTACACGCATCTTAGTAGCATGTTTTTTGCGTGCATCAGAGAGTGTGTGCAACAGAGAGCTTAAAGGGATTTGTTTTCGCGTCTGAACTGGAATGTGGGACAAGTATACGAGTCTGCCAGTATAGTCAGAAAGGTAATAGGAAGGATGAGTGACCACCAAGCACACCTTTTCTTCTTGAAGGATGAATGTGTATGGGTTGGACTAGATTAGGGTTATACAACAAGCTTAAAGCTGGCAGCCATAGCAGGCAAAACCTCTCATCTCAAACCAGAGAGTAAAAGAAGTAAAAGGGACAAAGACGGGAAAAGGAAAACTTAAAAACTAAAAGGAGGAAGAAGGCAGAAGCACAGAACACAGAGGACACACACATCCTTCAGTAAAAGTGGACCAGTGCATTTGACAGCAAGTAGTGCGTGTGTGTGTGCTGACCTTTTCCTAGTGCAGGTTAGGAAAGTGTGTGAGCTCTCTCTGCCTGCTGCAGCAGTACACAGGTCTATTTATAAACCTCCAGTTCAAATAGCAACCACTCTGTCCACTGGCCAATATGATAAAAGAACAAACAAACCCATGTGTGGACAATGAGCAACTTTGCCAATGCAATGACACATGAATGTGTTACAACTGTGGAGGGGCCTGTTTATTGAAATAAGAATAACCTTATTGCAAAAAAGACTAAATAATCCTACTACTGAAATTCATGTAGAGCAAAATGTTTCTTTCAGACACGTGAACCAACCACCGATGTTATAAACACTACACACTGAACGAACTCCACCTTCATTTACTCTCAGCTCTCTAAAACGTGGGCACACCGCCCGCATCTCAACATGTACGCTCTGCCAGAAGCCGTTTCTGGAACCAATCAAAAAACAATTATTACAAAATACTCCCCCAAAGAAAGTTGCTCAAAAGTATTATACTTGCTATACTAAGCAAACAGAGCATAAAGAGGTAGAGCATTGCCCTTTTCACTCCGGCAGCCGGAGCACTAAGAAGGGAGGAGGCTCATTCCTGCAAACTGAGTTGTTTACTTTCATGGATCTTGACTCAACCTTCCCACATGGAAAGACATTTGTCAACCCCGAAGCATCTGATTCAAAGAGGCTACCCTCTTCTCCTTATAAGGCAGTGCAAATCAAAATAATGTAGAAAGATGGCCAACACTTCACTTGAGGCGCTGCTCATCATGCACTTAGTCCCTATGGGTTAGTTATGAAGGATTTGGGGATTTTTCTGACCAGTCTTTCAACCTAATATGAAGTAACTGTTGTTTTTGTAAACGCCTAGCCTGCATTGGTTGCCTACATAATATTGTGTGTGTGTGTGTGTGATCAATCAATAAGTCAACAGAACAATATTCACCAACTATTTAGAAAATCAGTGAATTGTTTTCAGTCACGTTTCAAGCCAAGATGCCTCAGGATGTGGTTATTTTCTCTATGTTATATGATCGTAAACTCAAAGTACCTTTAACATGATGTTATTATAAAATAACTATCCGTTATTGTTTATTAGACAGCCTGTTTATTTGTTGAGCTAGTTACAAGCAAGCGAGCTCGTTTGTTTGCATTTTGCAACCCTGTGTTGTAGAACGACAGTAAATAAACCTCGACAACACGCAACGCCATTTTTATTGAATGTGAAATGTTTCACTTCTTAACCGCAGTGAGCACAAGCGTGTTCTTTGCCGCTGCTCAGCACAGAGTACAGTTTGTTCCCCGTTCTCCCGTATCAAAGCAGCTTTCATTAGGCCCCCGGAGTTGGCAGCAGCTCGACTGCTGCTGCTATCACCTTACAGACAGAGAGAGAGGAGGGGGTAGAGGGAATATAAGGACAACACAAACAGAGTGCTGCGGAGGGAGAGAGAGAGAGAGCGAGAGAAAAAACAAGATGTCAAGGTAAGGAGGAGGGAAGAAAGGGGACGGAGAGAGAAGTGGAATGTGAAAAAGGAGGGACAGAAGAAAAAGAGGCTGTCGCTGAGGTTGATGTGAGAGGAATGCAGCTGCAGCTTCCAACATGTATAAAAAGCAAAAAGGTCAACTTCCTAAAGTCGACAGTACATGAAACCAACATGTGCTCAGTTTAACTGAGCAAGAAGCAAAGAATCTGAAGAGGCAAAGTGGAAAAAGATCAATGGAACCGACTAAGAAAGTGTTGCGGCCCCGTTTATTTTACCTCGCCGGTTACATAATCTGACCTGGAGAGAAGGAGTAGAAGAGAGGTGGATCTAAACAAAGCTACATCATGAAAGAGTGATGACAAAACACACACATACAAACACAAAGGCAGAACCGGTGAGAAATAGACATACATTTGAAGATAAATGAGTACTTGAGAACTTTCTATACTGCTCAAACGAAGGTGGGCTGATACAAAAGGGCAAACATTGTTTTTTTTAGCTAAAAATGCACTTTTCACGTCCTGCTGTTGCTAAGAAGTCTATTTGAAGCACGTTGCCGACATATTCTGTCAAATCATTTGCATGCCAGTAAAAGACATCAGTACCTAAGCAACAGACCTCGGTGTGTAAAATGAAAGAGCTGGTAGCAGTCAGAGAGAGAGAGTGGGCGGTTTAAGAGGTATAAAGAGCACGAGCACGCGCACACACACACACACACACACACACACACACACACACACAC